CCGGCCGGACTAACAGGAAGTGCACACTCAGTGCTCACTTCCTGTTAGTCCGGCCGGGTACAGGAGACAGCTGCTCTCTGTACCCGTCGGACCATGCTGCAGTGAGGGAGGTGACAGGAGCGCTCCCTCCTGTCAGCCCCTCTCCTCAGGCTGCGCCCGGGCGGTGCGGTCCGCCCTCATGGACGCACCGCCCGGGCAAAGCTGCAGCCACCTGAGGCTCCGTACAGAGCGCTCGGGCGGCTGCAGCATGGGGGGGGTCTGGTCATGGCACCCCCCATCCTGGTGGCACCCGGGGCGGACCGCCCCCCCCACCTCCCCCTTAGTACGCCACTGTCTGGCTCTCTCCTTGTGAGTACCTAATCACTGAACTGCTATTTAGTTACCCATGTACTTTATGATGCTGCACTAGGTGCTTGTCAATATTTTTGTTTTCATAGTGCATTCTACTATACCCAAGAACCAACTATACTCCAACTATTGTGTATGTATATGTTATTTTCTTTTGTGTGGGTGGCCACACAGGTGTTTAGAGTAACTTGGTTAATATTTGGGTTGCACACTTAGACTCTGTATTTATATTTTTACTAATGTTTGCCTCCACAGGTGACTATTGTAGTCATCATAAACTACAACAGCGGGAATTATGTTAACAACATACTGTAACCTTATCTTAAAACCTTCTGAAGGAGCGGACTCACCATTTAATAAGGCTTTCTGAACCCTCAAGTCTATCAGTTTCTTGTTAGATTCTATCATGGTATTATTATTATTATTGGTATTTATATAGCAGCAGCTTATTCCGCAACGCTTTACAATAAAAGGGGAATTTACCAAATTAGACAATAATAAAATGTAACAGGAACAATAGGTAGTTTAGAACCCTGCTCAAACGAGCTTACAGTCTAGATGAGGTGGGGTATAAAAACACAATATTTAGGGTATTGAGAAAGACACCATATAGACATGGTGGGAAGGTGGCAGAACTGGAGGTGAGAGTGAAATGTGGCCCTATAGGAGAGAGCAAGAGGAAGGTTTGAGAGATAGAAGTTATTCTTGGAGACTATATGCAATCCTGAAAAGATGGTTTTTGAGGAACTTCTTAAAGGATTGTAGACTAGGGGCGAGTCTGATAGGGGTAGACAGGCTGTTCCAAAGGAAAGGAGCCAACTGTGAGAAGTCTTGCAGGTGTGAATTTGCAGTAAGGGTGCGAGCAGCAGACAGGAGAAGGTCACTAGTAGAGCAGAGAGCCCCAGAGGGGGCATACCTATGAATCAGTGAAGAAATGTAAGCGGGGCTAGCGTTGGTTAGAGCTTTATATTTTAAATAGACATCTGAATGGTACAGAAAGCCAGTGTAAGGATCGACAGAGGGGTGAGGTGTGAGAGGAGCGACAATTAGGAGAGAATTACAGCAATCGATCCCCACAAGAATCGAAAAGGCCCATAACCACTCCTTCGCGAGACACATCACGACACTAACACAAATAACAATGAGGTCTGTTTATGCTTATTGTAACGTGCCTATGAATCCTAAGCAATATAGATTGTACATCTACTGTTACTCTTGTTTTATCTTCTCTGTATGTCAATCATTATCCTCAATAAAAACAAAAAATTTGGTCCAGCCGAATCAATTTGTCCAAAAAAGAAAAAAAAAATAGTTTGGGTGGACCAAA